TAATGACTGAATAATTTCAGTCAAACACCGTAACAACCACATTAACTTCGTTACTGCACTTGCCTGATTCAGTCATTCATTGTACCAGTTTTGTGTTAATTTGCTTGCTGAGTACACACATCGTCTTTTCTGTGTTTGTAAAGATGTTGCAGCATTCAGAATTGTTTTATAGTGTGAATAAGAAACACATATGAAAAAGCAGTGTTTATCCAATAGATGTGTTTGTTTAAAAAAAACTGCTTTGTAATTCAAGACGCCATAGAAGTCTAACATGCGCTAACAAATAATGTTTGAAATAATATAAAATATAAGATAATTCTATGTAACTTTAGTAGATATACTATGGGGATTCTGCCGCACTAGTTTTTGAATCCGCCGCTAGAGGCGCTGCACAAAACCTAATGAAATCTAGGTAGTCTCACCGGAAGTGATCCAGACAGCCGACGGCCGGTCGCCAATCGCCAGTGTTGTTGTGTTCGCCTGCGGTTAGGATGATAGTAAGGTGTTGTATACAGGGGGAGCCAAGAATGTTTTATACAGGGTGAGTCAAAAGATTGGCAGGTAGCTGGAGCGTAAAAAAGATTGTGCGTGCGCGTGCTACACATGGGGAAATCAATGTGTAAGAGAGAGAGAGCGAGAGAGAGAGAGTGCGGCGGACGATGTATTGGAGAGAGATAGAGATAGTATGACGTCATGCGCCATTGATGAGTTGTGGATCCCCCCGCTATATGGCGCTGCACCTGTCATCTGTCAAACGTCATGTGTCATTGACCTCGCCGAAAGATGGCACCACACCTGTCACCTGTCAAAAGTCATTGATGAGTTGTGCTTCTTGCCGCAAGATGGCGCCCCACCTGTCATCTCTCAAACGTCATGTGTCAATGATGAGTTGTGCCTCCACCGCTAGATGGCGCCACACAAACAGAATCTGTAAGTGTCATTGATCAGTTGAGGATCCCACCGCTAGATGGCGCTACACAAACGGAATCTATAAAACATCATGATGAGTTGAGGGTCTCGCCGCTAGATCGCGCCACACACGCATCATGTGTTGAGTTGTCGCACCTGTCTGACGCTGATCATGTCTCGTAGAGTGATCCACATACAGGAGGTGTGTGAGTTGTGCCTCTCAGTGCTAGATGGCGCCGATGTCGCACCTGGGATGGCGCGCTGGTGTCGTAGAGTGGTTCACATACAGGGGGGTCGATATAAATTTCTTGGGGCCCACCGATGGGCCGATGGGCCGACGGACCGACGGTATATCGTTAGATCGAGACAAGCCCCATTCACGCAGCACGTGTGTGGGGGTCGCTCATGGAGGGCGCAGACCTTATGCGTGCGTGTGTACGTGCCGTGCGTGATTGCGTGCGTGCGTGCGTGCGTGCGTGCCCGTAAATGACGTATATCGTGCACGTGACATAAATGACGTATGTCACATGACGTCACATACGTGACATACGGGACATAAATGACGTATGTCACGCATGTGACATAAATGGTGTATGACGTCACATCACATAAATGAGAAAATGGGTGAAATGAATAAAAGAAAAGGCATTGTTATAAATTATTTATTTAATATGTGACTTCATACATGTATCTCAATCTAATTTATGCGTCTAGTATGGACCATCAATGACGTCACTAGTAGCTCATCTAATAATGCTGCTGGAATATTTATATCCATAGTTGCACACGCATGTTTAATAAATATTCGTTTGAAATGATAATCGTCAATATACTTGGTTGCATAATGAAGATCATTCAGCTGTTTACGAAGAACAAATGACATTTCTTCTACTTTGCAGGTATAAACAGACTTTGAAGTTTGACGGTCAGCAGCGATACACAAACAGCTATGTAATAAACCATATATGTCGGTAGTTTATCTACATATTATTTAGGTACTACATACGTCTCATATGGTGGGGATAGTGGTGGTAGACGGAATTCATATGGCCGGATCTCAGACCATCACCGATAAGTCACCGACCACTGTACAAACAAACATAGCAAACTGCGGTCCTGTATTACCGTATTACCTGTCCCCGTATGGTGGCATCCTTGCTTCTCCAAGATTCGTTACTGGTCGATCTCAGTATGGTAAGGAGTCCATTGTGTTTATGTCTATAAGAACCATAACTATCTAAAACTGCAATGACTCATCAATGTTCACGTGAACATCTCTCAACCACCGGTAGTCGGGTTGTCAGTGGCGGGGTATGAATTTTTCATGTGGGTGAGCTTGATTTCTTTTATATGTTTAATAAAAAAGGAAATAATTTGAATGACGTTATAGATCAAAAATTTGAAGATTACCTTTGTCACTTTTTTTTTCTGATTATCCATGACCTAATTGAGTCTATCTCTCTTCCTGCGTCGTCGCTTCCACTTCCATCTGAAATTACGCTATCGCTTTCTCCGCCAAGACTGGCTATAACTGGCTCCATCATGGTGTCGATGTTGTCGACAGGCTGCCAAATTTTTGTTTCTTCCTTCACAACATGACGACAGCATTCTGCTACGCTTCAGGCGTTACCCAGCCAGCAAGGACACGTATACTTCACGTGAAAAGAACGCACCTCTTTACTTAGTATTCAGGGCCCTATTCGACGTGGAAAGCCCGTTGAATTTGTGGGCGAAGTGTGATGATTAACTGGATGAAGGTGGTAAATAACATTTGGATCAAAAATGAGTTCAATATATTTGGCGCAGCCTAGAAGTAGTACTCTGTCCGGAAAACAGGTTGGTCCTACTGAGGACAATAACTGTTATTATTAACAACCACTTTTCCAGACAGAATATCGCTTATAGACCTCACCAAACATACTGAACTCATTTTAACCGAAATGTTACTTACCACCTTCATCCACTCAACCCTTCAAATGTTATTGTACTAAAGAAGGCCACTGTGGTGGAAGAAATGCTTACAATATACAGTATTTAAACAAATATGTGGTCCGCATTGTAAGGGCAGACAAAATGAAGTATTAATACTATAGTAATTTTATTTGAAATAACTACTAGAATCATCATAACAACTTCTTAAAAACATGAGTATTCTGATTCTTTGTCAAAAGTTGTAAGCATTTTAGTTGTAAATATGTCAACAACAACATTTCGCCGATTGCTTAAAATACAAACCATCATGTCTGCTCATACATTTTATGTGAGATTTAAAAATAAATGAATACTGATAAGATTATATATTAACTTATATACATATATAAATAAGAAAATAGATACAACTTTTGCAGATATGTTTTAATACATTTCATTGCATATTAGCTTTCTAATTAAATAAAGTCTTAGTGAATGAAACAATCGTTTTGTGAGCATCAGATTAAGCATTGATGTATTCCTGGGTCCTTAGAGCCACATAGCTGTGAAGAATCTACCTCGCAAATAGGTGATGCATAGATCTTGTTCAATATGTTCAATATTATTACTATTGTTAAAATCTTGCTCTAAATGACTCACACTTCTCAAAATATCCTCAATAACTTCAAAATTTGAATTATCTGACTCTACAAGACTGTGGAGCCACAACCAAAAGCCACAACCTGAGAGGCATTTATTTTATTAAATATTTGTTGAACTTCCTTTCAAACATGTCTAATGACTGATGCTCACTAATAACTTTCTTATAGTACCTTTCATTTTGTGACACCGCCTAACATTTTACTACTACTGAGGATAAAAAAGATATATGAATATTTTGTTTTATATATTTGTGGTGCACGCTTTAATGGCATCTTCTTCACACATCTTTTCTGGTAGCATTGGTGCTCCTTGAAATAAAATTTGGATATATAGATGTGATATAATGAACTGTATACAAAATAAGATTATACAATCCAACCATAACTTAAAATCAATATAATTTAACTTGGAAAAAATAAAATATGACAGCTAAAATGCAGAATAAATTGTCTGACAGTCTCATAGAACATTCTATATTTTAGTTTTTTTATTAGTATATATTTTTTTACTTGTTTACCTATAAGTATATAAAGCTGTCACATGAAAAAGGATTTTTGAATATAGTTGTTCCTTCAGATACAAAAAATAAAATTTGTAAGCAATAATAGGCCTGAAACTGTTTGGGAACCTATAAAGATCTGTTAGTACTTACTTATTACAACCTTGTTGAGAAATAAAGTTTTGAAAATATTAGGCGCCACAAAATTATATTTGTTTTATTGGTAATATCACGTCCCCCTTACTTCAAAAAGTACAGGATCTGAAAAAGACAAATAATATTATTCTAATTTGGTCATATAACCAACTAAAGTCCTAATGACATGTATCAAATCCCATGGCTACTGCTATTCAGTATAAAAATGCTGTACAGCTTTACTTTCGCTGAACTGACTCATTGTTCTACAAACATGGAGTCCCACTTTGTAATAAAAAAGTCTTGCAAGTAATGAATTTTTGCAGTTTAATTAGCAGCTGCAATATTTGAAAAATATTCAAATTGAATTGATGCTGTTACTTGATGACTGACATAGAGAGACTTGAAGTAATTAAATACATTTCAGAGCCGTATTCTCATTCTTACAATTGAAGGATACCTTTATGGCCTCCTTCATTTTCATAGTATTTTCTCCACTTCAAAAGGCTGGGGTTGTGAAGTTATGTTTTCTTCTTGAATCGTAGGAAATTTTAGGCTGATAAAATAGATATAAATCAAAAGTATGAACATTTTGATGCGAATAGATATTTGTAACATAACCTCAAAATCAAGCGGTAAAACGAAACAGTAGAAAACCGTGAAAATCAAGGAGGCCATAAAGGCGTCCTACAATAATTGTTGGGACGACTGACGATAGCGATACGGCCCTTAATTATAGGTAAAGTTTGAAGAATATACCTACCGTCCTCAAAAAACGCTCTTCCGATATTGTACTTGCTCGTACTTGCTGTTTATATAGTGGCCACCACACCCGTTTCTTTCTCGGCGTCAGCCACTTTTCATGCACTATGGCAATATCGCCCCCAGCACCACCACCAATTTCATCTGAAAATTGTATTCCTATGCCTATGGCTCATACAAAGGCATAGATACTGTCACGACGCTGTTCTTGATTAAACGATGAGCAGAAACACAGTATGGCTTTTGTCAACACACTTAAACTTTAGAATTTTCAGGAAGATAAAGATACGTGCTCATTTAGCAAAATGCAAAATTGATGCAGGATGGAGAACGCGACGTAAAAAACAACATGAGGTTCTTGATGGGGAGCGTGGGAATGGCTCTGATGGATCGGATGTCTGTTCAAAAATATGGTTGCCTAATGCTGCTTGTTCAATGTTTCCAAATGTTATCGAGTTGGAGAAGCTTAATGTAGAGTCATGTGGGGTAACTTTACGCAGCGGGTAAGTGTCCGAAATGAACAACGTGCGAATACCACGGTTGACAACTTGTCGAAACCTGCCGCATTTAGTTCGCTGTTGACCGCCAATCGAAAGTACTGCGTCACAGGTTTGCCATACAGGGCTGCGGATAATTATTCGACGATATTATTTTTGTATAGATATATTATTAATTTTCGTGAAATTCAATGTTACAAGTAATCTAATTGTATATAAAAAGTGACTGTGAACAGGAGAAATTAATCAATATTTTCTTAGTATTTGCGTGTTTTCTCTGTAAGTCGTAGTTATCTTTTTCATAATTTTTGTTTGCTTTGACGGGATGGGGAAAGTATACGCGGGTAAGTGTCCGCAGTATTAAAATGCGTATACTTACCCCACTGAAGTAAATTCAAGATTTCAAGTATTATTTTGACGTTCTAGACCACTCAAAATCCATCTACTTCAAATTCTGTAGCTATAGTAGAAATTCAAGATAGACAAAGCCATGGAGCTTTAGCTATTACATCTATTGCACAAGAATCAAGTGCTTCTACGTCTACCGATTTGGCAGAAAGTCAAAAGATTTTGATTATTGCTGAAACGCATCGTCAACCAAGTGCAACACTGGCTGAACAACACGTCATTGTAACTATTGCTGAAGTGCATAATCAACAAAGTTCAACACTACCTAGGCAACGGAACATGGAAGCTGCAGCTGAAATTTACATAGCCAATGAACAATTACACGCACTTTCAGATCCAATGGACAAAATAGAAGAATTTCACTAGCAACAAATTATTTCGCCCTCTATTTTTCGTAACATTTCCATAACCAGTCTCATATCTCATATTTCCTTAATTTCCTTAGGCGATACACATTCAGACTCGACGCAAAAATCCTAGCAAGTCGGAAATAATCACCAATAGTCCTTTTAAAACTCAGTTGGAGGAGAAACAAAAACAAAATGATCAAAAATCTAAAAAGATTAGAATACCAAAGATAGACATGAAAACCAAAAGCAATCCAAAGAAGAAATATAACATTAAAAAGGATGAGGCTACAGATAAATCTTCAAAACAAGAATACTATTGTCCGTTATGTCGAGAAAAGTACGGAGATACGGCTGAAGTGTGGATTGAGTGTACAATTTGTAAATATTGGTGGTACGAAGCCTGTACCAGTTACGAGAGTGGCATATTTACTTGTGATCTATGTGCAATGGGTTAAGTTTCTGTTGTACGTACACTTAACCGAAGGCATGCGGACACTTTCCCACTGATGAGGGTAAGTGTCCGCATTTCCCTTGTTCATTAAAAGTTTCAATTAAAATAACAATCATTCTTAGAATTAAAAATTTATGTTTTGTTTTTGTTTATAAAGGTTTGTTACATTAGACTAAACGTTGATTTTTTTCAATTAACTAAAACTTTTATTCTGGAAGCAATTTACTAGAAATCGCGTACAGTTACCCCACATGACTCTACTTTATATAGAATTCCACAGGAAATGTACTAGACTCAATCAGAAAACAACTACTTATGAACTCTAGGAAATTGTTAATAGTATAGCTATGAAAAAAGGATAGACCAAAGGAAGACGGAACGACACACAAAAATCTTGGGAGCTATACCGGTGATTGTGATGAAAATTCTGCAATCTGGCAAAACAGCTATGGCACACTTTATCATTTGTCCCTTCCCCTATCAAGACACGATCTTTAAAATTTATTGGTCATGAAATGGGGAAACATCGATATTATAACTAATTCTCAATCACACTTTCATATTTTATTATTTCACTAAGGTGGTCGATGATTTTCACTTAATAATGACTAATACATATGTTTACACGGCATACTTATTTATAAAAAAGCTCGCAAAGCATTTTAGGTTCGATAAGCGCTTTTATATTTATGACACCAAGATGTATCTACAAATAAATTACATCACCCAAACTCTTAACATCATCATTCCGACATTCTCTATTTGAAAGATTACAATTCAAATTTAGGGGCCGTTCAAGTATTCCGTAAGCAGATTTATTATAATTATTTACCCCCCCCCCCATCCCCCTTGGCAGCAAAAGTAAGCAAAGCTCTTACTCCGTCCCCCCATGCTTACGTAAACATAATGATAAAGACAACACGTTTTGCATGTTCGACTTGATAGCCTCAATTTTACCGTCGGACAAAAATAATCGTAGGACATTTGCAGGAAATCTTTGAGTGAAGCACTTAAGCTTAGAGCTAAATTGACTGGAAGATTAAGAAATTGCCCTCCTTCATCCAAAACAAAGTCATCAACTGTTTGTTTTACTTTTACAGGTGGTGGAAGAAACCTATTGTATAGTAATCTAAATAGGCCACTTCTTGGACGACAGCATTCTGTATTTCTACATTTTACAATTTGAAGCAAGTATTGGCTCTCACGCACATGTTCTGAATACCATTTGATGCCTGGAAAATCAGGAAGATCTTGTTCACCTGCCCCAACATATTTTGCATTAACATTATAGCCATCAACTTCCATTGAACTCCATACTTCAGCTAATACATTTCCTGCAAATTCGAAATTAGATCTTTCTGAATGTTCATGAATTGTAACGCCACGTTCATCCAAATGAGACCCAAAATTGTCATGAGGCAATATTAAACCAGCCAGTTCCCGACTAAGAGGAGCCATTCTGCGCTCTACTCTGTTGTACGCACTTCTTCCAGGAGCATTGGTAGCTAAAAACAATGCATCGAGGTCATGTCGCTTAAAGTATTGTATAGCAAACCCTATGACTTTTTGATAACGTGGATTTTCATCTGGCCCTCCATCAACCGTCATGATTACCACTGGTTTTACTAGTCCATGGTCAGTTTTAGCTAATGGTCGAAACTCTTCAAGTTCGAGAAGCGTCTCGAAATCCTGAGCATGAGTATTAGCAGTAGATGAACTATGCTTTCCACTTCGAATAGCGATGTATGTTGGTCCAGAATATCCAACAGCTTGCGGTTGTCCTAGCATATTGGAAGTGACTTTGATACCAGCATAAACAGATGGTATTAATTTATGACGCTCAGCGATTCCCCAATCGTGATCAGGCAATTTGATTCTATATTCCATGTGCATTAGAAGAGGTGCTTGCTTATTTGCCGCAGTTACGCCAATAGGAACTCGAGCTTTATCATCTTGAGATATGAAAAAAACTTGATCTGGTCCAAGTATGGATGCTATGTTCCCTAAATAATGGATTGATGTTTCAGCGAACCTGCTATCTAAGTGGCTCCTGTGGTGATCAGTTTGAGCCCGAATGACCTTAACAGGGACTGTCGATACATGTCTTCGTCCCTCTGCAGAATTAGATTTTCTGGGAATCAAACGAAGATATGTCCCACTGCGACTAATGTCAAATCTTATTTTACGTAATTCTTGTGTGAGTTCATCAAGAGTTTTTACGCTGCGAATTGATTCCGTTCGTCTTCTATCATCTGCTGCACTCCCAAATAAAGCTATATCCGCGATTGTTTTCAATAGTAAATGTTGATTGCTTTCAAGATTAGGACGTCCCACTGAATCCCTCAGAGATAGTCTTTTTTTATTTCTGGATTTTCATTACAAATATCTTCTAACTTTCTTTTCATACCATCCCTGTGTTTCTTCTGGGCAACTGCATTTTGAACCTTCCTGTTTAAAGACTGTTTTGCTGTTTTTATTTCCTCGCGCAACTTGCGCAACACGCAATGATCTGTTTGTCACCTTCAGCACGGCTTGGCACAGTATCTCTGGCAGAATACAAAGCATTCAGATTTTTTTCGAGTAGAGCAATCTTATTTTTCATAGCTTCCTGAGAAGGTTTTGCTCTCTATTTATCTGTATTTTCATTAATTTCGCATTGCTTTTGTAATTCATTACCGGGTTTTATTTTCTCTTCTCTCTCTTCATCCTCTTTTTTAATATTTGAAGCTGACTGTATAATTTGTGTTTTTTCAGCAGGTTTACAGGTTGCCTAAAAATAAAAACTTTCTATGGCTTCTGCTAATGATTCTCTTAGTAAGCTAAATAGATACAAAGTATGGCAATATATATGGTAAATACAAAACCCAATGGCTTTAAATCTAATATGTTTAAACGAGCAATTCGTTCCGATCACAAAATACAGGGTGTTAGTTTTCTGTATATATGTATAAAACTAACATCCTGTACTTTGTGACCACTTGACGGAATCAATCATAAGAAATAAATCTAAAATATAATGAATATTACCTCTATACTTTGAGATAGGCCATCATATTTTCTAATCAGTAACGAGAAACTCTTTGGTGATTTCTAATATTTCTTGTACTCATAGGTACCTAAAATGATTTCGTCACTCACCTTAAAATTTAGTAGATTGGATTTATTCTTAGTCGCCGTTTGCAATTCTTCTTCGATTCTCTTAGATAGTTCTAGTTCTAGTTCCTTATCGGATTTTGCTTGTAATTTGTAATTTCGCCACACTTCGTTAACTAACTTTTGTACATTTTGTACTTTCGTACTTGTATGAGATTTTTTAAAACTTTCAAACAATTTTAGGTATAACTTGGGTTTGTCTATGTGAAACGACATCTTATTTAAACATTAAACTTTGGCTAATGTAATCAATGGTAACACAAATGTTAACTTGCGTTACTATGCCTGCCATACGTCTACCTGCTATAGTACACAAACGAAACAATACACTGATAGTGCAAATTTAGACAAGTGAACAACGCGCCGTAATTCCCCTTCTCGGTTCTAAAGCGAGTAGGGGAATTACCGCGCGCTGTTCACTAAACGTATGCATTATTTGCAGGAATTCCCAAAAATGCGTTTCGTATTCAAGCAAAGACAATGTGAGGGTTGCCATTCGTATTAAAAAGTAGATAACTACCGATGATGTAATCATCATCTAGACTCCCCTACCCCCCATGTCATCCAAAATAAGCAAAGTAAAGACCCCTCCGCCCCCCCATAGTGCTCCCGTAATACTTGAGCGGCCCCTTATGATAAAATGCCACGTCACATCCACGTTTTTTCCACGTGTATAAATAACCAACACAAGTACAGATGTATTTGCGGTCACTGTTTCACGTGGATAAAACGTCCCTCGTCGACTAGTGACGTGCTACACCGGATTTCCACGTTTTATCGATTATATTATAAGAATACAGGAGGAAATTATAACAAATACGGGTTTTATTCGCTGCAGTGGAAATTGGTATAGAGGTGTACACACGTCGTAATATTCACGTTTTATCGACGTGGTGTGGTTATATCGGACAAGTTTAAGCGAAATTTGATCCATAACTGACGTCGAATAAACGTAGAATTTTCCCTAAATTTCCACTTCGACCAAAATCACCAAATATCTACGTCGATTCCACGACACCGTGCTGGCTGGGTAGTAGCTGTATGGAATTCTCTAGCAAAGCCTTGACGTCTGGTAAATTAAAAGTTGTGTTATGGCGCGCAATATAACCCTTCACTTGAACCCAGATGAGCTCTATTGGGTTCAGTCCACATTGGTAGGACCGAAAACGCAGCACAGTGACACCACAATGACGTAACTAATGTTAATGAAATTATTAATATGGTAATAAACTGCTGATAACCTATTCAATTTATACAGGATTCGGATAGGCTGTTTCATTCGTGTACCCCGACTTAGCACGATATACGTACGTGCTTAATATGAAGCAGTTCTTTGTGACTGGTTGGTGACGATTTCTCAATGGAGGCTCAAGTTCTCTGACCTTGACAGGCGTTCGGAGCCCTGCATATTTTGAGGAATTTACTCCTCATCATATCATGATACTGCCGCCGTTTAGAATAGCATACCAGGGCTGTCAAACGTAAGCTATTGATGACTAAGATGGGTAGACTGCCAACTTACCTGTGCCTGGTGAGAAAGTCAAGTAATAACATGACTGAGCCTGGTGACTCATTCTTATACGGTGCTTTGCAGGAAGGTGGAATGGAATGAGAGGTTCTGTGGCATCTGACTTTGAAAATTCTCATTAGTACTTTCTAACCCTGAAACATAAACTCACTATCTTCGGAAATGGCGTACTGAGAAGGTGGAAACCGAGCTTTTTGTATATTGAGTTATAACTCAACAACTGACCAACAAAGCATGTATGACATATCAACCTTTTTCTTTTAGAATGATGTATCTGTCTGAATGTATAATTGAGGAATTAAGTTTAAAAGAATTTAATACATTTTGACAATTTAGATTCAGATAGCAAGGGAAGGATGATATAATTTATTATAGCGTCATGATTGATTGTCGAGTTTAAGTTACTCAGTGTGGCACAAAACCCCTCAAATTTGACAGCCTGCCAGTTCTAAATCCACAGATGATAAAATTCAATATTTTAGGGTTACAAAGTACTCATGTGGCGTTTTTTGTTTTGTAAATGGAAAAAGCTCGTATCGACATGTTGCGAGAATAAACGCAATTTTGTCGAATTCCGGTGTGTGTGTTATTGTACCCTGGACCACGGAATGCCTAGAACTCCAGAAATTTACAATACGAGTCTCAAATCTCTTTACACTTTGAAAATAGTATTAGGGCCAATTTAACCAACAACAGTCCGTTATTCTCAACCAATAGGGTAACTGACCGTCAGACAGCGAATGAGCATCAAGTTCCAATCAACAAATTTTAGCAACCAATAGCTATGAA